ATAATGAGAACACGTATTTCCATTGTGGTCCATTGCAAACACCAGAATGTTAAAGAAAAACACTAGAGTAAGAAAAAAATTTCAGCGGAAATGAGCACAATAAATACAATCAATCAATATGGTAAACTGGTGTAGCAAGAAAAAATTTATGGCAAAATGGAAGGATTCATCTCTGTATTACATGACCAGTGCCGAAGTGCTCAGTATATTATGTAAACATTAACTGAGTATTTTTTTCTTCCCCTGTGCAGAATGGACAACCAAAGTGGAAGATCACGGCCTGAGGTAGGTTGACGACATAATCTTCCTCATTTTTACTAGTGTATTTTGTCAGAGCGTGTATGTCTGTCGCATTTTGGTTTGTTATTTCAAATATGTGCATAAATGAAATGGTCTATCAATACATTTTACGCCTTTTGCTGTGTGATCACATTCGTTTTCACCTAATTACTATTACAGTATGACCAGCAAAGTACAACTGAAGCAGCTCATCACTTTCTGGCCTTACTCAACAGAACAGTGCCTCAACCTACTAGAGAGGGTCAGAACACAAGAATGGAGAGACCAAGTGTTGAGTCAGAGATGGCCAGGTAGAAAAAGCAAACATTTGTAAAAGGGGCAGTTTAGCTGCATTTAATTTTCTACAATGGATTTGACTTTGAAAGCTGATTTCTCAGGAGTTCTATGTGATTGTGGAATTTGGCTGAGTTGGCTTCGATTGATTAACTTAATTGTGGTTTTGTATGTGTTTAATATGATGCATTAAAATGTCAGATGTTCCATCATTATCCTGTATTTCTCTACCTGGATTAGTGGAAGTGGTGTTTGTATAAAATTAGCAAAGCAATGTAAAACACCTAAATTTTCTTTTTTTCTGTTCAAGCTTTAAACTGATCGTTTTAGGTATTCTATGAATTTGTAAAGATCATTTTAATTTAGCTTTTTTTTTGCTAGTCCGCTGCATTATAGGCAGCACTTCAGCTGTTTATAACTATCCATTCTAAGTAGATTTTGACCTTGGGGATTTCATCTTTGTTTACAATTGACATATGGGCAAAAGCATTGGAGGAGTCCTTTGTTTTTTGCTGTCTGGTACATCATTTGCCTGTCATCCAGAACTTTCAGGATTTCCACGATACTCATGTCGTCCCTGACCAATAACATGGTGTTTGTAGCTGTTCCCTGTTTTTATTGCGCACCAGTATTTTTTTCCTCTAGCAGTTTTGTGCATGTTTTCTTTGACYTTTGTTTTTGATTTACTATTTTG